AGCAGCTCCAGTCCCCACCCTCCAACACCAAGGCTCATCTATCAAACTTGAGGCTGAGAGTGAGGGAGAGGAAGCTTCCAGATAAACACACTGCAGCGCCTAAACAGCTAATCACTCTAGGCTTCCGCTTCCAGGCCCTATAATTAGAAGCCCTTCTTTTCCTTGTATTCCCAGATGACGCAAATGCTTTTTGTGGCTTGGCACCTCATTTGGGGCGTGGGTTTAGTTTATGGCCAGGCCGAACATCGTCTGGTTTAGTCTTCTGATGCTGCATAAATAGTTCTCAAGCCACAGTCGACTCTGTATGAGCTTTTCCTTTTATGTATATGTGCTTTTTAACTTGTTTTCTAGAAACGAAAGAGCTTACTATTTCCTCAGCAGAATGTGTGTAAAAGAGGAAATTGTAAATTAAAAGAAAGCACATTATATTGCAGAACTGTACTAGCTGTTTCTTCCTTTTCTCCCCACCTTTTCAATTTTTATGTAATTTTTAAAGTTTTGTGAAACTTATAAGTGGGTTATATAAGCCAAATTTGTGTGAAGGAATAGAAAAAGATCACATTTGAGATAAGATGCATATATGATATAGATACAGTATTAGGAATTGTTTTCCTAAAAGTTATGTATGAGTGATTTTACATAGTAACAACTAAATTTGAAACATATATTGAAAATGCTCATTAATATGTAAAAACTAAGATGGTCTTGATTTGGCAAGCCTTTTTTAGAATGCTCATTCTGATTTTAAAAGGACAGTGAAGTTGAGTATGTATGTGACAGTATGTGTAATAAATAGAAGTTGCTCTTTTTTCTGTCACTATGATCTTTCTGTTTGTTGAGCACAGAAAATCACTTTCTGATGAGAAGTGGAATCAGAAGACAGCAGTTGAGTTGTGATGACTAGACTCACTGTAACTCAGAAAAAGTGAAAGCCTCAAAGACAAAATGTGTTTGTGACTATCTTAGCGATACATAGCTCAGTAACCTCATGACCAGAGTTGGGTGCTTAATGGGAGAAAGAGTAACAGGTATATTAATAAATTACCACATATTATTACATTACTTATAGTAATTGATGCTTTCCATCATCTAAGATGTATTCTCTTTGAAGTGGCCAGGACAATGGCTTCTAATGCTTTGATATGCTAGCAGGAGCTGTACTCAGCCAAGGAAATAACAACTCAAATAGATGCGTCCTCTCATTTCATTGACCACTTTACCTCTCTTCTTCCATGTCTTTTCTTTTAGTCAGGAAAAGTAAAAGTTAACTTATGGCATTCTACTTTGGAAAAGCAGAATAAACTAATACCTCTCCTTCCTGTAGAAAACAATATGAAAATCTACGCAAAATGCAAAGAAACACACACACACACAAAGATGGGTGTATGGATTAGATTCTCTGGAACCATCAATTTGCAGTATAAAGAGATTCATACTGAAAATACACAGCTAAAGCAAAGAGTTAAAAATAAAGACTCCATGCTTATATGGCAGGGGAAATACCATGACCACGAAGGAGCCTTTCCCAGGGTGAGGCTCATCCATTGCACTCAGGATGTGCTGACTCCTGGGATTTCCCCAAATGCGGGAAACTGCATAATATGCAGAATGAGGGACTTGGCAGATGGCTCAGTGGTTAAGAGCACTGGATGCTCTTGCAGAAGACTGGGTTTGGTTCCCAGCAGCCATGTGATAGCTAACAACAATCCATAACTTTAGTTCCAGGGGATCTGACACCCTCTTCTAACCTCACAGGCATTGCATGACACGGATACATTTACATGCATGCAGGCAAAACTTTTATACACCATAATAAAAATTTTTTAAGTTAAAAATATAGTATACAGAGTCATAGGGGACTGTTTGCAGTCTCCCCTGGCTCACTTAAAAAATATTTTTAAATGGAGGCTAGAGAGATGGGTCAGCAGTTAAGAACACTGGCTGCTCTTACAGAGGACCCAGGTTCAGTTCCCAGCACCACATGTTGGCTAACAACTGTTCCTACCTCCAGTTCCAGGGGATCCAGCTCCCTCTTCTGGCCTCCATGGGCACTGCATTACCTGGATGCATTTACATATATGCAGGCAATACACATAAAATACTCGTATATATAAAATAAAAATAAGTAAATAAATGAAAAACATGAAAAAGGCTTGCTGCTGGGGACTGTGTTTCATCAGAATTGGAGGAGGATCTCAAGATGGCTGGGCCTGAACTTGTTCTGAAAGGCATCAGTTGGGTAGCTATTGAAGTGATCAGACCCTAAGGACTTGAATGAAGTCTTCCCAGAAAACAAATTAGACAAGAAGTTGTATCACTGTTGACCTCACCAGCCAGTTGAGAACCTATAAAATTGAGTCCAGGTGAAAGCTCCTACCCTTACGTTACAAACTCTGGACATTAAAAATAAAAGTAATTGTATAGTTTAAAAAGATAAACAATCCAAAGTGGCAAAAAATGTGTGATGAGGAATAGACACCATCCCAAACAAACAGAGAAGCAAGGAGACCACTGGTCACTACAAAACAGGGTGGACCTAAATTTTACCCTGCTGATCCATGCACTGAGAATGGAACAAGCAGAACAATTCAAATCCAGAATGGATTGAAAGAGAGAGATGCCAATGATCAGCTCTCTGAAAAAGCTGGGTGTGGTAGCTCACTCCTGGAATCTCAGCATTTAGACACCGAGGCAGGAGGATCACCGCGAGTTCAGTGCCAGCTTGTTCTATAATACACACACACATAGTGAGATACTGTCTCAAACGAAAACATAAACAGACAGAAAAAAAAAAGATTTTGACCAAACGATTATTATCTCAGAAATTCAAAGCTTAATTAATATGGTATGTATATACAATGGAATATTATTCAGCCAGAAAGAATGAAATCCTGTGATTAGAATATCATGGATGTGTTAAGAGATCATTTGAAGTAAGTTATGCACAGAAACACACATACTGCATTCTCTCACATGTGGAATCTGATCTAGAAGCCAACAGTAGCATGGTAGTTACCCAAGTGTGGTGGACAGGAGGACTGGAAAAGACTGGGGAGTGAGTTCTGTGAGAGCAGCAAGAAGGTCCGCTGTTGTGGGTACAGTAGGGTGACTGTGGAAGATAGTAGCTTACCTAGTACATTTCAGAAAGCTAGGAGAAAGTATTTATAAATTTTCAGCATAAAGAAATGATAAATGATCAGTATGTTGAACCTGTGTACAGTGTGTACCTGTGTCTAACCATGCCAACTTTCTCCAACAGTTTGTACAGTTTCTCTATTTTTATGTGTCACTTCAAAAAGTTTAATTTTTAAAGACATAATTTATAGGGGGAAAGCAGCTTTATGTGTTTATTTTTGGTGCTAGGGCTTTAACTCAGGGCCCTGTGTATGCAAAGCATGAACTCTACAGATCAAATTTACTTATCCAAATAGATCCACCCCTCCCCTAAAAAATTCCTGTTTACTAAACAATAGCACTCCCTTGGCTGTGGAAATTGGATAAAAATGTTCTATCTTGAATTATTTAAAAAATTGTAGCTTGAAAACAAGAATAACAATAGAATTATGACTATATTTAAAAGGAAACCCAAAAATCTTCATGACTTTGGGTTGGTCAAAGACGAGAACCTTTGGCTATGACATCTCTTTTGGTGGGGGGTGAGACAGGATCTCCCTGTAGCTCCAGTTGGCCTGGGCTCACTATGGAGACCAGGCTGGCCTCTGCCTCCCGAGTGCTGAGATTAAAGATGTGTACCACCACATCTGGCTGGCTATGACATCTTACCAAAGAAAAAAGCCTATTTTTTGGAAGGAGCTATGGGAAGTGTCAGTAAATACTATGCCGGGGTAGAGGTGGTTTTTATTTTATGTATTTTGTATTAACTTTTTATTATATTTGTCAGGGGGCGGGTATGTACATGTTCCACTGTGTATGTGTGGATGTCAGAGGACAACTTGTAAGAGTCAGTTTCTCTATCAACCATGTGGATCCTTGGGACCAAATTCAGTGAGCCATTTTGCTGGCCACAGTTTATATCTTATTTATTTTGGGGACAGGACCACACTTGGTTCCCCAGAATGGTCTTCAACTCTTGGACTCAGATGACTCTGCAGCTTCAGTCTCCTGACTAGCTGGGTGTCCCACTGGTTCAACTCATTAGAGAGAAGTCTTAACCTAGTGAATTACATGAGGATCCTAGCAGTTAGTTTAGTATGTAAATTGGAACTTAGAGTTCTAGTTTGGAAATTACAAAGGGGAGTATGTTTTAGCTCCATGAAAGTACATCATTTTCACACCCATTCTATTGTTTTTTGTTTTATTTGGAGATGGCCATGCCTTAGCATTTATTAAAACTTTAAAAAATGTATTTTTATTTTATGTGCATGAATGTTTTGCTTGCGTATATGTAAGCACAACACACACCTGCAATGCCTGTGGAAGTCAGTGTGTGTAGAGGTGCATGTTTGTGCCCCTGCTTAAGAGAAGTCAGAGGACAGTCTTGACTGTCATCCTCAGAAATGCCATCTCCCTCCTTTGAGACAGGGTCCCTCATTGGTCCTGAGCTTGAGTTGGGTAAGCCTGGCTGGCCCAGGGACCCTCCCATTTCCACTACTTCAGCACTGGGATTACAAGCACACACTACCACACCTGGCATTTTTACATGAATTTTTGGGATTGAACTCAGATCCTTATGCTTGTAAAACAGTCAGTTTGCCCATTGGTTATCTCCCCAGCCCCACACTCAATGTTCTGAAAATTGAGAGAGCTCAAATTTCTGGCATAGAAAATTTCTTCCTGCTAGTCATACAAACCTTTTACTACCCACATGTACTCTTTTGCTGTATTGGTATGACATTTGGAGGAAAAATGTGCTTTGTTTTATTTTCACAACTTTATGTCCTTTTTGTTTCATAATATTTAAAATGCTGTGAGTTCTTTTAGAAGTATCTAATTTACATGCATGATTGTTTTTATTTTTATCCCCCTTTTTTATCTTCCAGGAATGCTTTTAGTTACAACGGACACTGTTGGCCATGACTTTCATGTCTTCCAAATTCTGACTCATCCATGGTCCTCATCACAAAGTGCTGTTCATCATCTGTACACTCTTCATAGGGGAGAAACTGAAGCCAAAGTAAGTCACGTATTCTTCCAGAAGCTGATTTACCTGTGTAATATGGTATCTAAGCTGATTTGCCATTTATATCAGTTGGAGATTACTGTTTATGAGAGAACATTATTCTCTTTGATTGAGTGAGTTATAGTAAATTAAGGAAAAGCATCTCATTTTGTCTATTAAATACATAAGCAGGGAATACCTTATTGTTAAAAATGTTGATGAGGGCTGGAGAGATAGCTCAGTGGTTAAGAACACTGGTGGTTCTTGCAGAAGACCCAGGTTCGAATCCCAGAACCCATATGGCAGCTAACAACTGCCTGTAACTTCAGTCCCAGGGTATCCGACAGCCTCTTCTGACCTCCGTGGGCATTGCACGACACGGATGCACTTACCTACATGCAGGCAATACACGCATACACATAAAACATTTTTTAAAAATGATTAAAAAAATAAAAATAAAAATGTTGATGAATGAGTATATTGGTTTGTCCTGCTTCATCCACCCCAATATCATTTCTTTTTTTTTTTTTTTTTTTTTTTTTTTGTCTTTGAGACAGGGTTTCAAAAAGCTGTAGCCCCAGCTGTCCTTGGAACTCACTATGTAGATCAGGCTGGCCTCGAACTCACAGAGATCTGCCTGCCCCTCCCTCCCGAGTGCTGGATTAAAGGCGTGCACTACCACGCCCGGCTTCTTTTTTCTTCTATATATATGTGCAGGGGGTATGTAAATGTGGCTTCCTGTGGAGGCCAGTCGCACTAGTTCTGCTTGGAGCTGTTGTTACAGGCAGTTGTGAGCCACCTGATGTGGGTGCTAGGAACTGCCTCTGGGTCCTCTGGAAGAGAAGTACATGCTCTTAGCCACTGAGCCATCATCTGTCCAGCCCTAATACCATTTCTTGGCACAGAAAAAAATCCTTGCATTCAATTGATATCTTTCTTTCCAGATTTCTATGTAGACATTTTGATTCTATTTACCTATATGTGTGCACACTTGTACTTACAAACATACATTCACACATACACAACAATATTTTCATGATGGACTGAGCATATGGGTATCCTGGGAATGGGTGACATGAGTGGTTAGACTCATGCACATGTCCCCCTCTTTCCACATAGTAGTATCACATGGGTAGTATGAACTCATCCATACTGGGTGTGTTTCAGCATGTGAATTGATTTCCTTAAGAGCTAGTTTTCAGGGGCTGGAGAGATGGCTCAGTGGTTAAGAACACTGACTGGTCTTGCAGAGAACCTGGGTTCAATTTCCAACACCCACATGGCAGCTATGAACTGTCCTTAACTCCAGTTCCAGGGGAATCCAAAGCCCTCTCTGACCTCTGCGGCATTGCATGACATGGGTGCACTCACATACATGCAGGCAATACACTCATACACATAAAATAAAAATAATAAATAAAAAATATTTTTTAAAAAAGAGCTAGTTTTCATTTGTTTCTCTATATATTTGAGAGAGGGTCTCATGTAGCCCAGGTTGGCCTTGAACTTACTGTATAACTGAGGATGGCCTTGAATTCCTGATTCTCTTGCCTCCACTTCCCAAGTGTTGGATTATGGATGTGTGTCACCATAGTGGGCAATAGTTTTTAAACATTTCTGTATACAACTATGCAAACATGCATCTTGACAATACATTCCTGCATATCATTTTCTGATTATTCTATTAGGCACTAGAACTGGAGCTTTACATAATTTAATATTCTAGTTTTAAAATATTTTACTTATTATTTTGATTTTGTATGTATAAGCATATTGTTTGTATGTATGTAAGAGCACCTGTATTGTGCAATGCCCCCAGAGGTCAGTAGAGCATGTCAGAGTCCCTGGAACTGCAGTCACAGATGGTTGTTAGCCGTCATGTGGGTGCTGGGAACTGAGCTTGGATCCTCTACAAGAACAGTCAGTGCTCTTAACTGCTGAACCATCTTTCCAGCCCCTGAATGTTCTTTTTAAAAAATATATTTTATTTGGGGATGATGAGATGGCTCAGTGGTTAAAAGCACTGGCTGCTGTTGGTAGAGGACCCAAGTTCAGTTCCCAGCACCCACATGGCAGCTAACAGCCATCCGTAACTCCAGTTCCAGGGGATCTGATGCTCCTTTCTGACCTCTAGGGGCATTGCATGACACAGGTGCACTTATGTACATGCAGGCAATACACTCACACATAAAATTTTTAAAAATGATAATAAGGGCTGGAGTGATGGCTCAGTGGTTAAGAACACTGGCTGTTCTTGCAGAAGACCTGGGTTCGAATCCCAGCATCCACATGGCAGCTAACAACTGTCTGACTCCAGTTCCAGGGGATCTGATGGCTTCTTCTGTGCTTGTGGGCATTGCATGACATGGATGTACTTACTCACATGCAGGCAATACACTCATACACACAAAAATAACAAATAAAATGTTTAAAAAATAATTAAAAATGGTAATAAATAATTTATTTTTTGTCTTTTGAAACAGGGTCTCCCTGTAGCCCCAGCTGTCCTGGAACTCACTATGTAGGCCAGGCTGGCCTTGAACTCAAAAAGATCTGCCTGCCTCTGCCTCCCAAGTGGTGAATTAAAGGTATGTGCCACCATACCCAGCCCAATAAATTTTTTAAAAAAATATTTTATTTATTCTTTTTATTTTATGTGTATGAGTGTATTGCCTGCATGTACATATGTGCACCCATGTCATTTAATGTCCACTGAGGTCAGAAGAGGTGTTAGATCTCCTGGAACTGGAGTTATGGATGGTTGTTAGCCACCATGTGGTTCTGGGATTTCAACCCAGGTCCTCTGCAAGAGCAGCCAGTGCTCAACTGCTGATCCAACTCTCCATCCCCAAGCCCCTGAGTATTCTATTCTTAATATCACAATGTAGATGCTACATATTTTACTAAGCCTAAAATTTCAAATGGCATTTTGTTTCATAGGGCTCCCAGTAACCACCATATATTGCTACATTTTAGAATTAGTCATTGTTACATTATACATGGTGACAGGTATCTGCATTCCCACCACTGGAGGGTTTGGAAAAGGAACCAGCTGAGAGAAACCTGTGAGGCAGAAAGGGAGGAATGGGAGGAGGGATAAAAGAGAGAAAGAAAGGTGGGAGGGAAGGAAGAGGGAAAGAATAAGATTTTTGTAGTATGGTAAAATTATTTTAACTTGTCTGCTTGTCTGTTTCAATAAATAGTGGGGTTTATTTTAAAAATAAGTTGTACTTTATTGATTGTTACATATTTAGAGCCTTTCACAAAGTCAGACATATTTTCTCCCAGATTTTTTGAAATTAATTTATTCCTATTTTTATTTTTTGCTGGGCTAGTAATCAAATGGAGGGGCTCTCATATACTTGACAAGCACTCTACCTCTGAGCTGCAGAGTGGTGGGTGCATCCCTGACTCAGTTGAAAGTAGGTGGTCAGTGTGGGTCCTGCTACCCACATTGTTTGAACATGTATTTACTACAAATGAGAATATTTTCTTATGTAGCCACAAAAAGCCATTAAAATATCAAATAAAAAAATTCTGCCCTTTAACTGTCAAACCCCAGTTAAGTGCCATTAGTTCCTCCAATAACTAGCAGAAGGATCTCGCTCAGGAACTCAGGAAAATTAGATGTATTAGTCTCTTTCCTCTGGAACAGATCATTATTTCTTTTCAGTTTGTGATTTCAGCACATTTAAGTATTGCAGCCTATCTTTTTGTAGTGTTCCTCAATTTTCTGTGTAATGTTTCTTCATGATCAGATTTAGGTTAGTCATCGGTGGTAAGACTGTAAGAGGTGTTGCTCTTATTTTATTCTGTGAGTGCCATGAGCTTTCCATTTGTGACTTTGGCTGTTGCTTTGTTTTTGAGACAAATTCTCACTATGTAGCCCAGGTTGGCCTAGCCTCCACCCTCCTGCCTCTGTCTCTGAGTGCTGGGAGTACAAGCGTGCAACTTTACTAATTATTTGGTCAGGATACCAATATATCATTTTGATTTTTCTGATTCTGTTTTCAAAGGCATCCATTTATTCAATAATTAGTATTCAAAACATTTTAGATTCAGCCAGTGGGAGTCTGTTAACTGGCAGTGGTGTCTTTTGACATATCTTGTCAAGTTTTGAGCATTATTTTTTGTTCTTTTAGCCTTGGCTGGCTTAGAACTCACTGTGTAGACCAGGCTAGCCTTGAATTCTCAGAGATCCACCTGCCTCTGCTTTCCAGTGCTGGGATTTTAGGTATGTGCCACTACGCCCAGCTTGAACATTCGTAAATGCAGAACTAAATTACCTGCTATCCTATTTAGTACCTTTTATGTTCAGTATGCTGCTGGGCACAATTCATTTCCTTACTCTTTTTCACAAACGCTATTTGTTCTATTGCTATGCTCTGCCTTATCAGTAACCTTTTTAGAATTTGAATGTCTTAAGCACTTAACACCTGTTTTTGATGCCTGGTTTCCACTGGTGTAATTTGCTATTTAACTTACCTAGAAGTCCAATGGGGAAATCGAGATCTTGCTTACAGTCCCTGATGACTGTGAGCCTTAGGACAATACCCTGCATATTCTTGGTACAAATATTTGGTATTGCCAATTGCATGCCTGTTTTATCATGCAGGCAAATGAAATAGAATTTATTAAAATGATTTTGCCAGGCTTGGTGGCACACACCTTTAATCCCAGCACAGGCAGAGGCAGAGGCAGAGGCAGAGGCAGGCAGATCTCTGTGAGTTCGAAACCAGCCTGGTCTCCATAGTGAATCCAGGACAGCTGGGGCTATAGGGAGACCCTGTCTCAAAAAGACCAAAAAAAAAAAAAGATTTTGCTTCAGCATTTGCCTTATAATTTGGAATTTCTAAACACCAAACATAAAATCCAAGGACCTCAGTTGGTGACCATCAAATTAATCATTATAAGGTCCTACTGAAAATTATTTTGAACTGATAAAATTTAATACCAATCATGAAATCTGTACGGCACATGATTTATTTAGCCATCTTTGAGCACTTCAAAAATCA